GTGTCACAGAGCATTGGCAAAACAAATCTAATGTACAGACACACAAGAAAAGAAGTGATAATGCCAGAAAATGCAATTGCTAAATTATACCGACTCCCTTGCTCACGCGGCAGCTCCAGGTTTCAGTCAGGATGGCTTTTCCTTGGCTTCTAAGCGCCACCTGCTGAAACACCAAGCCACTTGTCAGAGCCCAGCGCTTGGACACTCGCTGGTGCCATCACATCGTGCAGCTCCAAAAGCGTTGCTCAGATGGGACCTGGGGGAACAATCAAGCCCACAACAAACTAAGCAGTATTTCACTTATTTGTAGTCTATGGCCCCAAAGAAGTTTGGGCAAATAAAAAGCAAAAAATAGAGTTTCCAGAATTTATTCATCATTAAAATGAAGTAGGCATCAGTGTCCACAGAAGAACTAACTCCATAGCAGTAACTCAGAAATTTATCTTTTGTAACCTAAGAATGAGAAAAACACTGTTTACAAGGGTGATGGCTATATATTGTGACTCAACAGATCTATATTTTGCAAAAGCTTCTTTTGCATCTTCCAGGGAAGTCTGATTTTTACATGTTTTGCTGCAGCAAGCTCCAACACAGAATTCAGTTTAATGACACTAAGGCAAATGGATTGAGATTCTTTCATTGGGAAACAGAGCAGCTGCTATGGGCTGGGAAAAAAAAAAATCCCAGTTATTGTTAAATATTGATGGCATAACTTACATGTCGCAGCAAAATAAGATTAGTCCAACATCAGGACCATCAGTAAATGACTACAAAAAGTCCCAAAAGTTTGCCAAGCAACAGAAAAAATGAGGCACAAAGCAGAAATACATTGATGAAAATATCTAAAGGAAGAAATCTATGCCACAAAGCTGGGGCTTCTCCAACACAGTCTGACAATTGTGTTTCTGGAAAATGTACTTAAGCTAAAAAAAACACTCCACCTTTTGAAAGTAAAAAAAAACAACTAACAAGCAAACAAAAAACCCAACAAGACTAAAAGACTGCAGCTTTTGGAAAAAATACCACGTTTAAATAAAAAAAGGAACAGATTTATCTCAGGAAAAAAAAAACACAAAGCCACTTCTCACATTTTACCACAATCTCTGCTTTTCCACAGAAAACAAGACTTGATTCAACTTCCACAAAACCTTGTGTGTCCTTTCTTTCCAAGACATTCAACAAAGGCTGTATCCTGTCCCTAGTCTTCAGCTGCAATACCCGTTGGGATCAGCAGCAGTGCTGTGAGCTGGAGGGAAGCCTGGGTCCCTGTTTTTGTGGAGGTGGGGCTGCTGCACCCGGGGTGACTGCAAACCTCCGGGCATGAGCGTGGAAGAGGTGCTAGAGCCAAAACCAAGCTCGCTTTAAAACCACAGGGGTTTCAGACTCTGATGAGGCACACCAGTATAGCCAGGGGGCTGCTGCAAACAGAGAGGCAGCTTTCAGCCACCTGAGGGCTTGCTGTTAAGCACAGGCTACTGGGAATCCTGCTTTCTGCTCACCCTACAAGAGAGGAAAGCTAGAGGAACAGGGTGGGCTATAATCACAGTGACAATAGACAGTAGGCAGCTGCTGGCAGTGCCAGGTTGCTCTTGGCATTACCTCTTTAGTGGGAAACCTCAGTGTGCTGCTGCTGCTACTGCTCCCAGCGTGGAGGATAGGAAATGCAAGACAATAATCAGCAAAATCACTGGTCTTGCTCCTTCTGCCAGTGACAGCTCTGTGATGGCAAAGCCGTGCTCTGCCCACATGGCTGCAGAGGTTTGAGGTAGCAGTGTGCAAGGAATTACATAAAGGCAAGTTGGCTTTCATACAGCAATGTGCACAGGTGATTTCATCTGCAAGACTTCTGCTGCTGTCATCTGCCTCTGCCAGGATAGCTTTGTGTCACAAGAGCAGCAGAATGAATCAAATCTCTTGTGGTCTAGTTTCAAGAATATATGGCAGAGTGAGGCTTGCATTAAACTCAGGTGCTTGAATCAGAATTTTGTTCTGCAGAATGCAGTATAAAACAGAAAACATTTCTGTATCACATCAAGCCAAAAATTTCCTCTCACAGACAGAAACATGAAGCCACAAAGAGCACAGGGAGGCCAGAATGGAAATGTAGTGAAGGAAGCTGCTGAAGTGCTGGCTTTCCAGGAGGAAGACATCAGGAGAAAAGGCCGTCCCACACATCTTTTTTCCCGTACCTTGTGCTCTTTTGGGGTAGTGGGGTGGTGTCACCAAGGTGCTCTGATGGCTCATGCAGAGGCAAGAAGTGGGGGCAGAGTTCTGGAAGAGTTATAGGAGCCTTTTTCTCTTGCTCCCACAGGGCTCTACCAACATTTTTGGAGCAAACTTCAGTGCATGCTGTTGAGGAGGGTAGACCTTATTCCTGACAAGATCCTGTACCAGGCAGCAGGCTGGAACTCGAGCTGCAGGCAAAACCTGCACCTCTGGGACTGCCCCCCTGCCCTGCAGAATCAGATGTTCCTGTGGTTTGTGCCATCCTGTTCAGCAGCAGTTGCACAATCAAAATGAAGAAATAATGCTTTGAACATGAAGCACCAACCAAGATCTCCCATCTTGATGCTAGCACCAGATACAATGGTGTGCATTGCCACCTATCTCACAAAATCTGCTGTGTGTGCTGTGAAGCCACAGGCTGGCAGGACAGCATCACCACTTATCTATCTCCTACATCTGCTGGGTCTGTAACCAGCACACTGCAGATGCAGCTGAAAAGGGGCCTTTCAGCTTCATTTTTGGGTTCCCAGATCACAGAGAGGAAGAGAGGAGTGCTGAAGAAAGGATCTGGGCACTTGGTGTTAGTCTTGAAAATCCCTCTTGTCTGGTTCAAATCCCTGTAACTTTCCTTTTAATCCCTGAAAAGTACTTCCTCTGAACATCCAGTGTGTGTGTCTAGTGTGCCATTATGGCTGCATGTTCACCAGTAGAGATTTTACTAACTAGCAGCTAATGCTGGTGTTTGTTCCATTAATTTGCACACATATTAATCAAACTACATTTCATACAGGACAGATTCCAGTTTGAGTTCTACAACATCTGATTACTAGTGAAAAATCATGGGTTTTTTGTTCCCAGATTTTTTTTCCCGTGCAAGCACTATTCCTTTTCTGAAGTTACCAGTTGTTATTCACACTGCTCTAAGAGCAATTCTGTTCCACAGAAGTAGAAGGAAACTTTTCCCCTTACTTCCAAAGCACCTGAAACCACCCCTTGGAAACATGGTTCTGTACAAATGTTGAAATTACTCCGCTGGGAACCATGTTCTCAGAAAACATATCCAGTGAGTAATGAGGTCCACACGCAGGCAGACCTGAGCTGGGAACTGGTTCTGAAAGTACCAGGGATACACCACCAAAGTGAGGGGCTTTAAGTTTTCCTGGATCGCATCCTTCAAGTCCCCACGCAAACCCCATTTGTCCAGCTCAGTGTAAAACTCTTGTCCTGAAGCACAGGATTTTTTCCAGCTGCCACAGGCCCAGCTAAGGCTCCCAGAACCTAGTGGCAAAACTTCTGCTGGTTCCCAAAACGTACAGTTGTTTTCAGTACCAATCCTCCCTTCTGAAAATGTACATTGGTTTGGGATTAAATAAAATTGGAAGGTATTAGTACCAAAGACAAACTGGCTGCAGTTACTCAAATTAAAACTGCTACTTTCCTTGAACAAATATCAGCCTGTCAGAGCACTGCAGGGTGTGAAGACATGAGATAGCAAGTCAAAAGGAAATATTTCTCTTATTTTGTGATTCCCACAATCCATCCACCTTACTTTCTTTCTCTTGTTTTAAAGAGAGGACAGATAGCATGACACCATGTTGTGAAAACAATTAATAAAAGAGAAGTGAATGGATTCTATTCAAGTTGCCAGACCACATACAGCCCCTATTTGATAGTAAGTTTGGTTTTCATATATATTGGCACTTCAGTAGCATTACAGTAAGTAAAGGCTCCTCTTATGATGGCTGGCAATCATAAAGAGAGTTTCTCCACCAGTTTCCAGTGTCAGCCAGTATACAAGATCCAGAGTCTTACTGGTGTAGAAACTAATATAGCTTGCACAACCTTCACTAAGGAATTGCAAGCAGATTTTAGTCATGCTGAGATCATTGCTGGACAAAAGAATAATCAGTTTTGCAGAGGATCAGTGCAGCAAGCACTCAGGACTTCAGTGTTTGAACTGTTAGCAACCCAGGCTAAGAGCTGCAACTTCATGAGAAAGGCTGTTTTGAAGTCCATTCTATCAGCCTGTACTGCTTTTAATTGGCTGCCAGCCTGAAATGGAGCAAATGCTACCATGCAAGTGCATTTATTCTCTGCTACAGCAGCAGCGTCTCAGTCTGGGAGAGCAGCAAAATGATAAGACAGGAGCAGAAAGTAGAAGGAAAAAGAAAAAGGTATCAAAGCAGGAAAAATTAGACACCACACACTAGGTTTTTTCAGGATTTTTTTTCCCAGTTTCCTTTGTGTACCATTTCTGCCCTGTCTGTATGGACAAAGGACAACAGATGAACTTAGACAGCCTCATTGATGAGACAAGAAGGGTAGGTTCCCAGTCCTAATTCAGCATCAGAAACAGAAGACAGCAAGATAAGAAAGTTATGAGGTCTTCATTTTTGGAAAACTCTCTGAAGTCACATCTTGGTCATATATCACTGCAAATACAAATAAGTAGTAAACAACTTTTAGTGTAGGTATGTAGAGCAACTGCTACCAGGTCAAGAAACATTCCAGGAACAGAAGGAAAAAATTACTGTAACACATGTATCCCCTTTGAAGAAAAATAGAAGTAAAATGACCTCACAGTACAGGAATAAAGGAATCAAAGCAGGAGGAGGGGGTTAATATCAACGATATTTTTGCCCGACCTCTGGGAAGAATGCTGCATCTGACTCCATGATATCAGAAGGCGAATTAATTACTTCATTATACTATATTATTCTATTCTATTCTATATTACACTACATCTAAACTGAAACTGCACAAGCACCCAACTGCACTGAATTTTGTGACTGTCTCCCGACAGTCCTGACACATACACACACGTGGATGCAATGGGTGACCTCGGGTAAACAATCTCCAGAATACATTCTACATGAGCACAACAAGGAAAGTTGTCTGTATGTTTAGTTGTGAGCCAGGATAAAAAAGAGGGCTTTAAAAAGCATTTTTCATTTATCCTGGTCCATGTCTCCCCGTCTTTGATTGCCCCTCCAGCCTCCCAGTACTGGGAACTCACATGTTCCCAGCAGCAAGATCAGCAGTTGCTCTATCACACTACTGAGACCCACGAAGCCAAGAGATACTGCAGTGCTACAAGTGACAGGTCTACATGACCTTCCTGGGAGAGACTGCCTTCCATTTAAAACATCCTGTCCAAGACCACCAGACTTCAGAATATTTTGGTTTCCATCTCTTGCATCTTCTTCAAAACAGAGCTGTATCTAACATTGCAAAGGGGAGGTTCAGGAGCCACAGCGACCTGTTGCAGATGTCAGAAAAGAAAAGAACAGCTCATCTCAGAAAAGGGATGGAAAGAGGAAAAAGACAGATGTGTGGGGTGGCCAAATTTCAGATCAGATCTGCTCTCTGATTATGCTCTGATTCCCTGAGGCTGAGCCTACTGAAGTATCTGGGAATTAATTCTGCAGATTGAAAGTAATTGGCACAATTACTGGAAACTGTTGTTATGGAACAAGGGAGTGTTGCTGTATGTACGCTTTATTAGAGGAGCCTATAAAAGGTGAAGGAAAAGTCTTGCTTCTTTAAGTATACAATTAGAGTTTCCAAACATTCTTCATCATGATGATAAAGTAGATATCTGTGTCTACTGAAGCGCTGACTCCGGCATAGTAGTTCATGAATTCTTCTGTTGTGACCTGAGACAGAGAAATAAGAATAGGAAAATTAATATTTGCTTTTATTTAATGCTGTAAGTCAAAACAACACATTGAGAAGAACCTTTAATGAAACTGAACATCTGCTATTTCATGTTGTGGCTAACAAAAAGGAATCCAACAGGACGAATTAAGACACTTATAATTTCCTTAATTTCATTTTGCTAGAAACAAGAATTCTTGTCCTCCACAACACCTGGATGGAGATGAAACATGTGAAGTTTGACTAACCTTACCAGGAACTGAAGTTAAAATCATTTCTGACTAAGAAGACAAATTTTTTATGCACTTTTTTCCAGGGATGCTATAATCTGCTTCTTCGCATAATTATTAATAAAGTGGGTGAGGTTTCTGATGCAATTCAGAGACAGCTTGGAACTTTATAGACACCTCTAGAGGGAAAATATCATTGCTCTAAACAAGTCTCCCTTAATGAAGCAAATTTCAAATACGTAAGGTTTTGAATAGCTTTCATGGATATTTTGAGGTTTAAAAATTACCATAAAAATAAATAATCAAATTAGCCAAGACAAAAACTGTGCAGGTCTCTTGTGATGCCTTAACTCTTGAATTGTGTAGGTCATTCTTTGAATAAACAAAGAAAAATTTGAAAAATACAAAACAATATTAAAAAGACATTTAGCTATTATAGAGTGTCCAAAGGAGGGCCAGGAAGACACTGAAGGGTCTAGAGGGGAAGCTGTGTGAGGAATGGCTGATGTCACTTGGTCTGTTCAGCCTGGAGGACATGAGGGGAGACCTCACTGCAGCCTCAGCTCCCTCATGAGAGGAAGAGGAGGGGCAGGCACTGATCTCTGCTCCTTGGTGACCAGTGACAGCATCCAAGGGAGTGGCCTGAAGTTGTGTTAGGGGAAGTCTAGGCCGGACTTCAGGAAAAGGCTCTTCCCCAGGGGTTGTTGGGCACTGGAACAGGGTCCCCAGGGCAGTGGTCATAGCACCAGCCTGACAGAGATCAAGAAGCATTTGGACAATGCTCTCAGACCCATGGTGTGATTTCTGGGTGTGCTGTTCAGGGCCAGGATTTGGATCTGATGGTCCTGATGGGTTTCTTCTAACTCAGCATATTCTGTGATTCCATGATATCTGCTCTGATTGCATTGTGTGTTTGAGAACTTAATAAAACATGACAGTAGGGAGAAGGGACCACTTCAGACTGTTCTACCATCACAAGATGATTACAAGCCTCACTAAAACTGCCTATTGTAGAGGCACCCCTATTGTAGAGGCACCCAGCAAGACCACGGTGAAGAGGGCCTTTCTAGCAAATGCTCAGCCTTGAGGCATTTCTGCTAAAAGCATTTTAGGTATTCAGTATCATTAGTGTCTTCTGATTCAGGAAAGCCACAGTCTGTTCTCAGAAGAAACAGTAATCAGGTGAGCTAACATCAGGATTGCTGACCAAGGGGTAGATGATCAGAGTAACCAGGCACTGGTTACTCTGATCATCAAGGATCAGTTTGGGAACTCATTTAATGTGTTCATTCACGTATGACCTCAGCACAAAAAGCAGGAACATTTTGCTTGAAATTTGCTAGGTGTCACCACTGGAGGTGGAAGGGGATAGCTGGCTCTGAACTGGTGTCTCTGAGGATGACACTGCAGCAGAGGGGATGAAATTCAGCTCTACTAAGTGCAAAGTCATGCCTAAAGTAGATAAATGCCATCACCTCTAAAACAGAGGGCCTGAATGGTAAGAACAAAGCAAATTAAGGATTTGGGTGGAGCATTAGACAGGTAGGAGTCACCAGTGCAATGCAGGCCTGAAAAGCATGTGCTGCCTGGAGAGTGGGAAGTGTTAAAATCATTCCACAAAGCATTGATAAAAACTTACAGCCTAGTTTATTATTATTAACTGCTCAGATTGAGAATATCACCAAGTGAACCACAGAGATACAGGATTGCTCTGAGCTGGTCAACAGATGTAAATTCAGACCAAATAAGTCTGCAGGCACATAAAAGGGGGAAAGAGCATGCTTGGCTCAGAGATGGTTGCAGAGGATGTATAAGAAGTCCATCATAAAAGTGCCTAGGCTTTGCACCTGAGCCAGAGAGTTGAGCCAGAATGGAGGAAGGGCTCCCAGCTCATGGTTCTGTCCTAGCTTGTGGCTCCTCAGGGTACACGCCTGTGGCAATAGCCCCAGCCCCATCCTCCCTCCTACTGTCTGTATATAAATCCAAGTCAAGTGTCTCAGTAATTACACTGGAGAAGAACTAACTGTAAAGTATTCAAAAAAGCAGGGAGCCTGCTTTTGAACTGGATCCTAGTATGTGTTCTCCTAAAAAGTGAAAAATCCCCCAATTTATGTGGTTTTGTGGGGTAGTCTGAAGACGTACTTAGTGTAATCTATGAAAATTGATTATTAAGGCTACAAGCCTTAATGCAATCTCACAACCACCCTTGTACCTCCTGCAGAGTCCCTTTGCTTCAGAATGTGCGAAGGCTGTATCAGATGCTGTGCACAGGTTATGCATCTACTTTGATTTTCCATATAAATGTGATGCAAATGGATGTTTGGTACTGCAATTACTCCCCCACTTAATAACCTAAGTCAAGTTCTGAGTCAGATGATGATTTCATAGGTTGCAATCAGGTGCTTCACTTACTTTCCCATCTTTGTCATAGGGTGAATCAAAATTATCCAGAAAGGCTCTAAAAACTTGATCTTCTGTCCAGTCTCCATTTAGGTATTTGGGATGATATTTTGCATTAAAAGTCTTGCGTAAGTCTTCAATTGTTATGACACCATCTCCAGTCTTGTCTAACTTCTGAAATGCCTGCATGACAATCTCTTTTCTTGCATTGGACATGGGAGGCTGTAAAGAAATATTAACAGAATAATTTTTTTTTGCCAACTACTTGCCCAGTTCCAAATTCAAGTACTTGTTGTTGCTAATAGCAAAACTTTCAAGGTAGATGGGACAATATACTGGTGATAGTTTACACTGTCCAGGAGCTAGAAAGGGCAACATATCTTCAAAAGAGGAATACGATTGAGACTGTTCAGTGTCTACCCATACAAAAGCAAATGGAAAATAAGAGAGAAAATACTACCTAGAACACTTTTATCAGCTTCCCATTTTAAATATTTCCAACAATAAATTACTAATTACCCAAAGTACTAGTCTTTTCTATCTTAATTGTTTAGGCATCAGCAGAACAAAGATACCTCAGACAAAATCAATTACTGTGGTGGATTGGAGAAAGTATCCCCTGAATAAGTTAACGTTATAAAGAGATGCATCATAAAATGGCCGACAAAGAAGTGAGATTGAAGGGTTGAACTGCACAGGTACCCAGACTGCAGCACAGGAATTTCAGTATCTAAATTAAGGCCTCAATTAATTGAAAGAAAAAATCACAACTGCTTATTTGAAAATATTCTATTCTACTTTGTTCTGTTCTGTTCCACTATATCTTAATCAATTTAATGCAATAACAACATAAATACCAAGACTTACTCTCAGTGTAACAAGAAATTCATCAAAATCAATTTTTCCACTGCCGTCTTTATCAAATATCTGGAAAAGCTCTTGTGCTTCTTCCTTATTGATCAGCACAGCATAATGACGTAGTCCTCTCAGAAACTCATTGAAATCAAGAGTTCTGCTATTGTTATCATCAATAATCCTAAATGCTCTGTGGAAAACATGAAATTTGAGGAAAATTCATAGGAAGACATGGAGAATGCTGCAGTGGTTCAGTACACTACTGGAGTAGAGAGTCACCTTACTGAAATAACATTTCTTCCTTGTTCTGTATTCTGAGGGGAGAAAAAAAAATAAAAAACCCCAACCAACAAACCCCCTACACTTGTTGGCAGTAGAGATGACTTGTTTAGATAGGGTGTATGAATATTAATGTCTGAAGTTAAATGAGGGAAAGGCTGACATAGTACTCTTGTTCATTATAGCTCTCTGCCCCTGCAAGTTGCACATCTAGATGAAGTTCTAGCTGGTCACCATCTGGGTCCATTTGTGGTGTATGGGGCCTGGGAGGGATCTCAGGGTGAGATACAACACCCATTTCCTAGGGATGGGATGCTTGCAGAAAGGTTTTAGGTGCCTCCCATAAACTAGACACCTAATAGACCATTACAACAAGGCTATCATATCCAAAAGGGAAGGAAGCTTAAAATCTCCAGTGCTGAAATACTTAAGATAATTTTAGAAAACACCAAGGAGAGATATATGGTTAATGTTCCCTTCTTTTCTCTGGCAGGAGTCATTCTGGGTCTCACAGAAGGACTTTCTCATGAGGGGTTCACAGTCTTCAATCCTTCAAAAGATCAGGTCAGTCCTGCATCCCAAAACACATAAGCCTCAGTGGCAGGCTCTGTGGGTTGTGGCATTTACACTGAAATGAGAATACTCAAGGAAAACTTGAAAACTCGAGTTTTGGTCCCTGTTTAGGGTGTGAGCCTCTTGCACCTAAAACTATTAGGCTGAATAACAGATTTGACATCTTGCATACTCACTTGCCAAGTCCTTTGATGCCAGCAGATCCCCTTGCTAAACACTGCAGGCGAAGTCTTTCTAAAGGGTTAGTGATTTTGGGCAGGCTTCTTTTTGCAACGTTTGCCAACTCTCGGTCATGCCTTGATGTGCCCATCTGGAAGACCAAACCACTTATGTGGCGTGGATTCACATTCAGACACAGTGCTGAAACCTACCTTAGTATACAAAGCATCCCAAATTCCTAACTTGCAAAATGCTGGTAGCAACTCTTTCATGAGGACCCATTTTGACCCTCTATTTCCTTTTCCTTATATCCTTCTATCAGAAAGGGAAATTGCCAATATAGGCCACTGACCATGAAAGGAGGGCTCAGGCAACCACCCTGTGATTAATCCAGATGCAGACAGGAAACTGTGTGTGAGAAATTTCTGCCTACAGTGTGAGAACACTGTGACAACTGATTAGTGTACTCAGGAGTGTGTGACTCCCTGTGTGTCCATAGCATCCTTGCCAAACATCTTCCACATGGCCAGATTTGCAGCTATCATTTGACCACAGGAAGAAAAAAAATTTTCTGGCTGAGGACCTTTGCCTTTGATTCACTTTTGTTCCACTGAGGTCCCGATTCTGCAGAGCAGAGATTTCTCCCACTGCATATATGAGCAGCAGCAGTCACCTACACATGACACCTACTGCTTTTAAACACAACTGCAGAACAAATTAATACCTTAAACTTCCACAGTATTTAGCACCCCAGGATTTGACATGCTGACAACAAAGGCCTTCCACCTTCCCTCAGAGGAAAACAGTGGAATAAAAATCGGGAAAACCAGCTTGTGACTCTGCAGTGCTGCAGCAGCACCACCAAGAGAAGCATGCCCAGGCTGGCAGAGACCCACTGCTTCTCCCACAGGGATTATTTGTGCCTAGTGCTAAGAAAAGTGGGACTGCACATGCCCATGCTGATATTTCGGGGTCACAATGAATCCTGGGCACATGCTCATTGCCAAGACTGCTGTTCCATAGCCTGGCTGATGGGTCTGCAGCAGACCATGAAGATTCCCAAAATATTTTCCAGCCTTTCAAGCGTCATGGGATGGAGGCACACAAGAGTCACAGAAGTTACAACAGAGCACTAGACTCAGAGGGTGGCTGGTGCTGTGCTGAGGCCATGCTGGGATGAGGAGATGAAGCTGAGCAGCCCTGTGAGGCACTTCCAATCCCATTGTCATTCCACGTGAAGAAGTGTGAATTTAAATGATCAGACAAAACATCTAAGAAACATGGAATTAAACTGTTTCATCTTAACTGTTCATCCACTCCTGTTTACAGAGCATTGGCTATGGCTGCTGGTAATACCAAATATGCTGAATTTTATAACCACTTTAGATTACTCCAGCTGGGCTTCAAAAAACAGAAAAATAAAATGGTTTTGTACTCCCCAAATGGTTTCAGTACTAGCTTAATGCAGAAGTCTAGAGAAGTAAAATACAGAGCATTTTGGCCTTTGCTTCAGACAGAGCAAGAAAAGTTCTTCTGGGAACTCATTAACCAGTGACCAGGCAGATCTCACAGCTGTATGAGATCAGCAGCCAAAAATGTTTTTTAAAAACAATGACCTGTCCTTAAAGGGGAAATACTTTAAAATACAATGAGGTTACAGAAATACAGTGCAAACTATATTTACATTATATAAAAATGTACTATTGCTTATCTATAATATGTAGCAACTATACATCTATATACAGAGTACATGATGCAAGTGTATCATTGTGCAGTGTGATTCTCTCTACACAATGTTATGTCCTCTGTAATTTCTGCAGTAAGAATAAAGTTCGCTTCTACATCTATGAGCATTTCTGCCTCACCATCTCTAGGCTAAGCTGTTCCAGCACTGAATAATTTTTCTTTTGATGTATGCTGTTTCCAGTCCGAATTTCCACCATATTAGATGCTGGTTTACTCTTACAAGATTAAAGAGCTACCTATTAAAAAATGTCCAGGTGTAAGTACTCGAAGTACCCTTTTAAACTAACTTTGGCTTAGTAATTAGGCATAGCTCAGGACTCCTGGCAAAAAATGAATTTCCAGATGTCAGATAATTCTGCTATTGCTCTTGAACTTTTCAATTTTTTCCCAGTGTTCTTTCTGAAATGGGTCAGAGCACTCCAATAATCTCACTAATATCATAGGTAAAGATATTCCCACTTCTTTTCGCCCCAGATATCATGGTTAAAACCACTAATAATAAATATTTCTGCTGCTCTTTGCAAATCTGCATTCTCTATAAAGTTCACTAACTAAATCACCAACAAGTTTCTATACAAAACTTAGCAATTAAAGTCTGTTTGCAAAGTAATTGAGTTTTAGCATCACATTAAAACCTCTCAAACAGGACCTGGCTTCCACATGGCAGTAAGCATTTGAGAACCCTTTCTATACATCCAGAAGATACAGAAAACCAGTTAAATATAAAACCTGCTACATGCAAGCCTGGTCCATAGTGTCACTTATATCACTTTCCTATTTCTGTTGGCTGCAGGCTTATGTTCAAGGTAAACCCTTCCTAGGCTATATTGTAAGAAAAGAGATTGCAAATCAGTGCAAGGAGGGACGAATCACATCCTCTTTCCTCCCCTTTCATTTTGCTCTTGCTCCTTTCGGAATAATGTGAAGTCATAATGATGCAGTCAGGGTTTGTTGAATATAACTGTTCTCTGACAAATGTGCTAAAAGTTAATACCATTAATAAAACAAGAATAACTCATAAAAGTAATTCCAAATGGTTTTAATTTGTGTATCTCATCCAAGACCATCAGATGTCTCCTTCAGTGAAATTAACCAGCAGTGTTTATTTGAATTTTGAATGCTAGAGAGTTTTGTTTTGTTTAACAGCCTAGGCTATGAGCAATTACCCCACTCTGTCAGCATTGTTTGTTTCTATAGGTGATGTTGTGTTGTGCAGGCCAAACAGAAATGATTGCGTTTATTTCTAACAAATACAAAACTTTAAATTTTGGATTGGATTTTTCCAGAAGAATCTTAGGCTGTTCAGCAACCAGATCACTTTACATTCCTCTGTGCCTGAGGATTAAACCTGAAAAGAGTCAGATTCAGACTAAGCTCTGCAACATTTGTTTAGATATTATCCTTCAGCTGAGCCCACCCAAGAGCCTCCTATGAAAATCCTAAAGCCACTGCAGTATGTCAGGCAGAGTTCCATGTGGATTGCCCAGGCTCCTGAAAGCTGCTGTCTTGGCCAAAGACACAAGCAGCACACCACTCACTCCAGAGCAGAAGATCTCAGGATCTCAGAATAAATTAAGTGGCCTAAACCAATTGCACACATTTAGTTCACTTCTAATAATTTCATTGAATCATTAAAAGCACAAAAACTGCAGGAGTATTTGACAACCGTCTAAACACCTGCTTAAAAATTTGGCTTCCCAGCCTCACTGACCTTTCTGCAGCTCCCTCCCATGTCTCTCTCCATCATGACCAGCATCATCCAGCTTCACCCTTCTGAGAGGTGGACATTACTGCAATTGCTCTTTTGCATATATACATATATATGTATAACTTTATATACATATATTTATATATATAAATTTAAAAATCAGATTAAAAATAGATTTAATTGAAATTAATTAAACTGCTCTTGGCTGATCAGAGAAACTTACTGTTAGGTAGCAAACAGGAAAAAAAGATCCTTTACCTGCAATGTTTTTCTGAACCTGAGGGTTTTCCACTCAGGACTGGAAGGTGTTACAGAGGCTGGGATAGTGTTGTGCCTCCAGGCTCAAGCAACAAGTTCAGGTGATAATGGGCCACAGCCTCACTGCAAAGCTTCCTTATCCATCTCGTTTTACCTGTTTACACACACGGCTGCCTTGGCCCCCCTTTTGTGGGAGGCCTGGATTTGCCAGCTAGTCTCCAAGGTGACACTGTAGGCTGTGGCTGGCCCAATCTGCAATTGCGCTGCTTCCCTGGACAATTGCTCTGGTGTTTTGAGATCCTTTTTATTTTATTTCTTTTAAAAACAATGCCTTTTCTTCTTATCTTTGCCCACATGGGCTGAAGAGCAGCAGAGAGTGGGAGGCACCTTGTGCTGCCCCTTGCTGAGTTATAAGATAGAGGGAAAGTGGCTGTGGAAAAGTGCTGCATTGCACAGTTGTGTTTCTAGAACATGTTCCCTGCTTTCATAGTTGATAGGGTTGAAAAAACTCTCTGGTTTAATTGTTTACTGAAAACATAGTAGAAGCATGTAAGCAAAAGACTGTCAGTTGTGGTTCACAAAGAAAAAACCCTTTTCCTGATGATTAATTGCCACTTTGAAGACCGGCTGGTGGTTAGAACCTCTGGGGAGATGCTGAGCTTGTGTTCATTTGTAGCAAGAAGAAAGCTGAAAAGGTTAAACACCCATACGATTAGGAAAAATTGCTCTCTACCTAGACACAGCTATTAGCAACTTGGTCTGCAGAAGGTCACAAACATTGTCAGTAAGATAATGTACCACTTTGGTAGGGAATCAAGATGATCCTTAGGGGTAGGAAATAGCCTGTGTGTGTTCCCTGGTCCTGTGGAGCAGCAGCAAGGTGAACATGTAAGATCAAGGCTGATGGCAAAGGCAGAATGTAGAAGTCAGTGTGAGAGCACTGACAGAGTGGGAAGTTAAGGGAGAGCCCTGCTCTGGCCAAGGATGAAACACTGAGCAAGAATGAAAATGTGCATTGTTTCCTGGCAAAAGCAAAAAATTATTTTAGGCAATTGCTAGACTTGCATCCTGGCAGGCTGCTTATCTCTCATCAACAGGTACTTCCTGGTACTAAACCGAAGCTTGTGCAAGACTTAGAATATTCTTTTATGTCTCTCATATGGCAGCTGATTGCACATTAATGCACAAGCAGAGAATAAGGCTTATTTAATCATTTACTGATTCAGAAATACTTCCTTTGTGAAAATGTAACATCCTTCCATCCACTATCTTTGTTTTGTGAATTGATCTCCAGAGACTTTCTGGGAATACAGAAGAGATAAAGGGCTATGAACATTATATAGGCTGCCGCCTGTTCACACACTCTGCAAAGACAAAACAGAGGCACTGAGGGCCAGAAAAATGGTTTTCCAAGTTGAAATTCCAAATTCCTTGGAAGT